ACCGGTCATGAAGCACATGGTGAGTATTCTGACATCGTGCCCCTTTCATGAACTGAGCCTTATCGCTGTACCACCTCTCCCTCTTGTACCAGTCCGCAAGTGGTCGAACCAAATCATGATTAGGTCATGAAAAAGCTTGAAAGTACACAAACGTATGCGCTTTATCAGTTTTGATGAATTTATAGTTCGTCTAACAACAGACAGAAAGTTGGAGCAATTTATAATAACATAGTTTTACTGCATACGCCTTGAAATGCCTTCGCGTATTACCGGCGGTACGCTTACCACACTTTGGGAAACACTAATGGGTACGAGAAGACTTAGTATCCAAAATGTAACAGCAACTAATTTTGCCTTTAAAACATTAATATAAGAAAAGGGCAACTTGACGTCAAATGGAGTGTTAATGAATTCAATGTACGTAAAACGTTTTCATATTAATAGACATACATGCTATTAAACATTTGCTGTAACATAACGCAAATTTACTTTTAATAATAATAATTACTTGGAATAATTACAACAAATAATTCTAAGATAACAATAATGCTAATGCTGACAACAAAAGCAAAAATGCGTATGTTATTTCCTCGAAAATCGTTCGGAAAGGAAATGTTTATGTCCGCTTTCTAAAGTACGCTAAACAGCCACAATGTATACTAAATAGCCTGCTCACAAATTGTAATAGTCCAAAATATGTAAATCACACAAACAGATATGTTTCAGTACGTGGTTTTTCCACGAATCTTCTGTTCATCATGTTTAATTGGGGCTCTGTTGCACTCGTACTTCGGACGTTCCAAGTCCTCTACTGTGCCAGCCTGTGTCACTCTGGAGACCTCCAGCGTGATCTATCACCCGACATGTCCAGCGAGATTGTGGTAACTAACTCCACTGTGCCATCAGCCAGGCTACGTGTCTCTGTTGCCAGGGGCTAGCTCAAGAGAGTCACACTCGATACGTGTTTCCATGGTCGTAGACAGCATCCGGACATGAGAAGTTTTGAGAAGAACATTGGACGTGAAGTTAACGTCAAATGCTTCACTCTATATCATAAGTCTACCACAAATTGTATACTTAACTAACGGAAAAACAGATACCCACTGCTCGTTGCAATGGCTACGAGCCAATAAAATGTATAAAGTAAGTCAGAACACATTACTGGCCTCTGTATATTTCCCATTTTTACAAGCAAGTGTTTAAATGTTGGCGTTACTGCACTCATTTGTAAAATTGTCTGGTACGCATTTCTTCTGCTAAAAGTATAGGCCTTAAACTATGCATAAGATTGTTACCGTACACCATGATATTATTGTAAGCCTGTGATTATAAAAAAACTGAAGGAAAGAGACAAGATTTGGTATATATTACGTTTCGCTTACGAATAGTTTCTAACGCTATTTGTAATTAAAATTTTATTTTAAATTTTTGTAGGTTTAATGTTGTTCACTCGAACCGTGTTTTAGTGTTATATTCATCATCCGCGATAGGCTATTACTATCCTTCTATAATATCTCTGTTTTGTTGCTTTTTTAGTGCTTTGTTGTAATTGACCTTGTCTGGCTGTTGTCAAGCACATTAATGAATTCTATTATATTTTGTTTCGTTTAACATGTATATATACACACATATGCGTGTTTCTTTGTCATATGCCCTTTGATGTTGGAAAACAATCTAATAAAGAAAATTAATTGAACAAAATTTTTCTATGGACTTCATATCATTTACGTAAATTTGTTTTATTATTATCTGACTAAAAGGTAGTCTTTGATTCGTGTTTCTGAAACCCTTTAATTTTCGTGCCTTGTGAAGCACGGAGTCCATACAGGAATCCCCTGTTTCATATATGACTCCATTCATAATTCCAAATGCCTCTTGTTTGTTGACGATTTGAAAATATTGTTATTATAAAAACATTGATCACTATAAACATTTGCAGACTGAAAATCATTCCATGGAAAAGTGGTGTTCGGAAATGGTATGATTTTTAATGTAGAAGATTTCTGTCTTCTGGGTTGTTGAACTGTGTAGTCTGGTCGATGTTTACCAACGTTTCAGAGGTCATACTGCCTCCGTCATCAGGGCGACGTTGGCAAACATGTTCATGTACTGTGAGTGTGTTTTATGCACGACTGACCAAGTTCTCTGCAATGACGGCAGATAGCAGAATGTTTTATTTTAAATGCAACGCAACGTACCATTAGGCAGCTTTTAGTAGTAGTTCTAAAGGATGTGTATATACGAAAGGGATAACAAAAATGAAAAAAGGGAACAGATGACGAAGGTATGAAAGCAGTCATTTAATGTTAGATTTCATTTCATGGAACACAGACAGAATTGAGAATGTCATATGATAAGCGTTAAGTGAAAACACAGACTATTACTGTGAACAGGTAAGATGTTTTAATTTCAAAATAACATTTTAAGTCAAATTAGGTTAAGGTCCGAGAAGGCGAAGACAATACCATCCAAAATATAAGTTTGTCTAATATTAATATAACAAACCCTTTCAGGTGGGAAGGTGGAGGTAAACTATTATCAGATAAATTCAAGTCAAATCATTACTCACAGACTCAGTTCATTCTACTCAAGTTCGACATTCATACAGCTACCATAGTGGTACGTAAATACAGACATTAGGTTCGAACTTACGCTGCATAATGAATTTCCAACCGAGGAAGAATTTCTATGCACTTCAGAACGAATTAGCTCCTGAAAGTGATTAATTTAATTGGGCCCATCTCACTCCACTCGTCGCTTTATAGCCTTTTATGTGGAGACGGAGAAACAGCTTTTGATATATGTGCAAACGTAGTTCATGGTGTGGTTACAAACTAGCTGCTGTACCATATAAGTGGCCCTCCATTCCATGTCACTTTAAGGTCGGACTGTGACTCCTCACAGAAGTTCAGTACAGTTACATGGCATTTCCTCTCACACCTCTACCGGCCAACTATTCACAATCATCCTGCCATTTTACATGGAGCTATATCTTTGTCGTTCTGTAAGAAGGACCTAAGTCAATGTAAAATACGTTTGCCTTAAGCCCTTCTTACTGAGGACCACATAAACAGCTAACCTTCGCACTGAATAGTGCATCGTTAACCTCTTCACACAGAACTTGTTTTGACACTCAAAATGTCTGCACAGCTCCAAACCTAATTAGAGGATATCATTATAAATGTCTGAAATATATCATCAAACTTCTGTACAGGTGAGTCAAATTTGTTTCCCAACAAGCAAATCACTTTAAACTTCATCCGATGATATTTCACGCTAGTCACCTTTGTGGGGAAGTAACGTGGATTCTTGCACAGCTGTTATAACGTAGAATGTGATCATCTACGAGAATCAACACGAGGGTATTTAACCCGAAGCAAGTACAATTCCGTATTTTATAGCTATACGAAGGGCCACAAAATTATTTAAATTTTAATTTAGAACTATCAATTTTAACAACCACTCTACATAAGGGCATACACAATTCTTTTAGCTTACCCCAAATACTTGCGAATAAATTTGTATAAATTGTTCTTCTGGTTTACTTGAATAAACACAAAAAATAAATTGCATAAATAGACTTCAGCCTACTTCTACACATATTCCCTACAGTATTAATTAATTAAAAGTAATAACTATTGATCTCGTGCCATTTATTTCAATTTCCATCATCCATTTGTTGGTATCTCCCACCACGCTCCTAACAGTAGTTAACAAATTGATCGCCCTGATGATGGAGGCAGCATGGACCTCTGAAACTTTGGTGGACATCTACCAGACTGCACGGCGCAACAACCCAGAATACAGCTATCTTCAGACTCACCGCGGTGAAAACCTCAAATCCTACTAGATACTTTTGTGTTTCCACATCATCCACTGTTGAGAAGTTGTCTAGCTCTCCATTAAAACTGATCCAGGAGTTACATTTAATATGACGAACTTGTAAGATCAATCTCATTGAGAAAGAGTACTGTGTCATATAAAACGTACAAATATCATGAAACCTGAGTGAGCGAAATCAAATTACGAACAACTGAAGAGAACGGCACTCAAGTGAAAACTTTAATATACGTTCACCTGCGTAACTGATACGAGAAAATACTTCACAGCGGTAGTTTACGCACAAATGCTGCTCTTCTGCCTGGCCGAACGCATTTCAAACGCTAACAAAACCTTTATATAATGTTATCATTTGCAGAGCAATATATATCGGTTTAATAATTAATTATCGCTTTTAAAGCTGATTTATCAATGCTGTGTATGTCACCTAATATAACCCTAATTAGCACAAGTTAAGCCGGAGGTTATAAAATAGACCTACTCTAATTTTACTTGAGTGGGAACAATTTTAATATACCATTTGGCAGAACTAGATAATAATTGCCAACTAATAAGGCGATCATTTCTGTAAATTATGACCATACTGACAAATCATAGAATACTGAGTTCTAAAACTGAAAAGTTTTTCGCTTTTATGAGCCAAAATTAATTATAAACTTCAGTGAGGCAAGTCTTCTTATTGATGGTTATCCATTTTAAGCAGAAAAATCTCATGGAGAAGCAAGGAAAGTTCCCTCTATTTGTCATGTAGGGATAATTAAAGTTGTGTCGCTGTCGGGTTAATACGATGACATCCAAATCCATACACTTGAATCATGTGGATTTATTTTTGTTTCGTCTTCCAAAATCCCAAAACAATACTTTCAGAAACGTAACTTCATTGTATACTGAAGCGCCATTAGACACTTGAAAATATAGAGAGCTTAGCATGCAAGTTTTTTATGCAAAATAACAAAATGTGAATTTATACTTATCGTGACGCCGTAAAAGAGTGTTATGTGAAGATCAGGGGAGAAAAGAGGACATTTGTGAAGTCTCAACTTAAAATAACGCACGCCTCAATTATTGGCAACGAACATGAACCATTTTCTATGAGAGAGGACTCGTATTAAGTACACATGCATCTGTTTTGTCAAAAAAAAGTTAACTTCTGTACTTACTCTAGATGCGATTTCTGCACGTCGAAGTCCTTGAATGTGATCTCAATGATCTCGTCTCGGCTAGCGATGAACGTGTAGAGCAGGCAGCTGATGTTGTCTTGGTAAGGGTGAGGGTAGTCCGGACTGCTGAATGCTCCGTACTGCTTGCCGTACGTGGCCGAGAACACCAGACACTCGCAACCTGCAATTACGCCACACACCGCTGTCATATACGATCACCTCTCTTAACCAGACGTAACACAGGAGGACAACGTCTACTCTGCCATGGTAGCAAGTGACCTAAATCTCCTGTGGAAAATAATTCAATAGGCCTACACATCGGGGAAAACGGACAATTTGTACTCTTCATGCGAAACTAGTCTGTTGACAAAATAGAAACTTCTGATACATGCTGTAAATTTAACACATGCTATTTAGCTAACTCCATGGAACACAGTCCTGTTCGAGAAGAAAATACGCCTAGTTGCTCAGCTGGTCAAGAAATTACTAGTCTTTCAAGGGAACAGACAACTCATTTCACGAGGTCGTATCACATTCTTTAACATTCGCTTTAATACTCTGAGATTTTAAGTTCTCACTGCTGCGAGTGTGAATATGACGGTCCTCTGGGTCGCTGGGCCGTGATAATGGGAGCAGCATCTCTGAAACGTCGGTATACGTCTACTAGACTACACGGCGCAACAACCTAGAAAATAGCGACATTGTCCACTGATTCAACAAATTCGAGGCTTTATAAATATTTTCTATGCGGAGGTTTCAGAAAAATCTGTGGTCTAAATCATATAAAATAACTGCACCGCATTATAAGATTAGCTAATTTTTATGGTTATTCATTTCAAGCGTACAATATTGCTCCCATAACACTAGCCGATGTGAAATTCATAATGATTTATGAATCTCTGTGGGCTTTTTAGTCACAGATGGACTGGTCATGTTCATGGACATTTAATCCATAACACAAAATAGAAAGCGTAAAATATTCAGCGTTTTATTTGACAAGGTTACATGATACTGGTATAATCGTATGTGATGGCTGTAGGAAAAGCAAATAAAAATTGCGCATCTACAGAGCAACGTACACCGACCGACTGTCTGTTTGTTAAAACCCTCTGAAAACATTATTTTATGGGGGATGATCATTGCTGTGCCCTACATACGCAAACCATGTAGGGGCAGCTGTCCCAACCGACTGTTCTATCAAAAAATTTGCTGGGATACGATGTTATCACAAGAAGTTTAGTCTTTCATTTACTGGATGTTCGAAACTTTGTGTTTCCAAAATATTACAAACTACGTGACATGTTTTCTGTGAATTCGCTGTCAACATTACATGTCAAAAGGATTTCGTAGGGAACAGATTTAGACTAATGAACTATTAAACATACCAGAAGAAAGAATATATATTTCATGCAAGGAACATAATTATGCAGTAAAGTGTGAGTTAATAGGATATGAGGAGCGTGTAATCGAAGAGGATGTCACACGCCGAAGAATAAAGTCTAAGTGAATGTAATTATTAGTTATTACGTGTGTACCTCTATGTACGAAAATATATTAATATCAAATTAGTCTCTAAAACTTTGCAGAAAACCTGATGTTTCACCTAACGATAACGATGGATGAGACAAAGCTGTAAACTATTTCTGTAAGGCAAATAAGTGTAATAAATATTTATCAACCTACTTTACCTTTCTGAGAAAACTCTGATCATAATATGGTTTATGCATGTGTTCATGTTTGTGTATCTGTACGTCCTCCTTTCAACTTTCGAACTATTTAACAATTTTTCACGAAATTTGCTACAAGAGTCATGTCATTCCGTGCCACCCAAATCTTTCAATTTTAATAACTTTTACTCTGAAAAATAATAACAACTTGGTGTTTGCTCAAATCAGTAGTTTTTAAAGTTTTCTGTCTCATGGTGATAACGAACGAACCATTGAAGCTACACATTTTAAATTTGGTATGGAGACAGGTCGTAATAATATCCAAAATTTATTTATAAAATATTAATGCAAGTTAACAATTACAACATATCTATGTGAAATTTTGACGTCATATACCGCAAACATAAATGAGGCATATCTGTCAATAATATTTAGGGGAATAATCGCTGTTTAAAATAAGAATCAAAACAAGCCCACGAATAAAAAATGAAGAGTTATTGATTATTGAAGCGGGTGGGATACACCGTAACCATTGCGCTTTAAATATTTATAAAGAGGTTAAAAGGGACCGCGAGATGGTAAATATACTCGTTACACAGCTAGGACACAAATATGTGCGTGACACTAGTCATGATTAAATTAGACGTCATTTCAATTAGCGAGTTTCAACCCAATGATACCTCCTTCAAGTGATATTTATATGGAAACCACATCTCCGTTCGTGTCTGAAATCTGTTCCCAGAGTCCCACTGCGAATACGGAAGATGTGACTAACACAACTGCAGAAGACCCGAACTTGGCTCCGTTAGAACGGTCGAAGGTGATGATAGTGCTTTCGGTTCTGAGTACGTCTCCTTCCCGCTTTAATTTAAATTTATTTCCCTTTCCTAAGCTTTTAATTAAAAGTGGTTTAGTTTTCCGCTCATTTTCTTTTAAATACCGTTTCGAAGGATTTTTAAAGTACAAATTAAACAGGATATTGCGTTTCTTTACAGATGCCTAATGCAATGTTCTTGTTATTTCCTCCGTGCTGTGAACACAGGCACTATTTGTCCGTGTTTTGCCTGTACTCTTTATTCAAACACCGTCTCACAGGTAGCAGAAGAGAGGAAGAACGCGAAGGAAACGTTTTTAATATGTAAACCCAGGTGCAGGGATTGGACTGATTACTTAATGGATTCACGTAACCTCCATTCTTCTCCTACTCCGATTCCTTTAAAAAATCTACTCTACCCACACTTCTCCACCGCACCCCCACTACGAAGCCTTCAGAGTCCCGGCCCCGGAATAGTGTGCGGGACTGTCTATCTGTAGGAGAAGAATTCCGTCTAAGGGCGAGAGGCAAGCGGGTGGAAGGAGAGGCGTCGCGGGAAAAAGACGCCGGTAGACGCTGTGTGAATGTTAACATCGTGCTCAGAAGATAAAGTTAGGAAAGAAGAAGAAATATGCGAGTAGGGAGTACAAGTGCGTCACAAGTCAAATTTAAACCCAGAGGTATTTTTGGAAAAGAGACGGGTATCCGAAAGTTGCGCCTGTCACGGTGAGATTTCAGGTTGTCACGACGGCGAGTGTGATCAGGGCCATCGCCGTGATGGTGGAATCAACAATCACCTCTGAAACGTCGATACGTTTCTTCTAAACTACACGGCGTAATCCAGAAGACAGGCAACTTAACCCTCGTTCCCTTGTTGTTAATGTTCACCAGGTTATGTTCTTTGTTGACACTTAAATTGTTTCTAATCAAAGTACTTTAATTAATTTTAGGTCAGTTTATAATTAAACAACTTTATAGAATGTAGCAAATCCTAGCTTTTAAAACTGAAATCTTGCCTACATTAATTACTTTTACACCAATTTGCTTGCTCGCATTGCATACAAACGCTTGCGTTATTGGTTCTGGTGGTTATATTCTTGTGGAAAAAATTAAGGCCTTCAGCACGTTTCTTTACTCAGGTAAATCATTTCCAGCTGCTCTTGATTTCGCCTATATATTATAAACACAAATTATAATTAAACACAATGGAAATGACGTATCTAATTGTTTTAACTCGTTATGAACTGATAGTACCTCAGGCATGCATTTACCTGTGCCATTTAGAATACGTTCAAATGTGTTGTTACATTAATACAGATTTTAGCGACGAAAATTAATTATGTTTATTTACCGAAATTTTTTTCTGTAGCTCAGATTATATAGAGACGAATGTAAAGATCATAGTGAATAATGAATAGGAAAGGATGTGGAAGGAAACAGCCGTGTTTTAATTTAGGATACTACCTCAGCACTTCCCTGGAGGGACTAAGGAAAACTACGAAAAAAGTCCAGTCAGGATAGCCGGTCTCCCGGATAATATATGAACCCGCGGCCTCCCCAACATGAAGTAGTATTAGTGGTAACCACTCGACCACGTCGTTCGGTATAACTTGCTCTTGGCAAAGTTTAAATAATGTAATTATTTATTCCTGCATTCATAATCGTTAGAAGAATGAGAATAACACAGCGTGACTGATTACATGGGAGTGGTTGTCATGGAATAACAATACTGCTGGCATCCGGCAACCGGTCGCACAGTCGATTCCTGCCTAAGGTGATTTTTCGTGTGGCGCTATAGGCGCATTACATTACAGCAAGCGTAATTTCCACGATTCATTTCGCTTATAAAGTATACAGTTGTATGGAAATTTTCGTACGTCTTTGTACTTGAATTCTAGATTACAATATTTTTACCAGTCACGCTATTACCATCAACCGCGCTGCATATTCTACAATACAAGATGCATACTTTGGTAATCAACACATCTGAGCGTTCCTTCACATATAAATTGGCCAGGAAACTAAGTAAACGCTTACTTTCATAAAGGTGTCTGCTGTGTAATCTGATATAAATTTCGCCACACCACACAGAGTAACAAGATGGAACCATCATTTGATACTCACCATGCAACAGCTTCAAATCTCATAAATATTTATGTCTCGCTTCCAGACTGTAAGACAAAGCCGTTATATAAAGTTAAGCTAATAAATCCTTTTAAAATGTGGTAAAGGTCAAATATTTCGGAACGACTGTAACAAATAAACATCGCATTCCCGAAGATAAAGAGAACAAATGTGAAGGTGGACGTCTTTTGGGATATCGCGACGTGTATCTGGTAGAAACTTGCCGTTATAACAGAGGTCCACACTTCCCACACCGTGGCTCTGATATAATTTTTATACAATCGTACTTCACTAACATATTTGTCATTTACATTTATAAGTTACGTAATTATTGGAACCGTGTTGTTTTTCAAGAACCCATATAATATTACATAACTGCATAACGAAAATGTTCCATGACATAAATGGTTGTGGTGGTTGTCTTTTGTTACTGCTGATGTGAACTGTTTAAACATCTGTGGATTTCAATGGCCTCTTTTATAGTCAATATGGAATCCAAAACCAAAGGTAAAATAAAATTTGTCCAGGATTCTTGTCGTTTTTCTAGAAACAGCCTACATATCAGGCTACCAACTT